TAGTCTCCATCTTTCAAAGTCTTGGGAGCTTTGAATATTTTCTCCTTCTGAGGCAATCACTACAGGTCCCTCAGCTTCTTCCTCACTCTGAATTGGAGAGCTGCCATTCCCCTCATCCTCCTAAGGTTCAACTCCCTCCATGGCTGATTTTTTGGTTCTTTTGGGTGGCATATTAGAGTTAAAGTGGACTTTCTTATACTATTTTTAAATTGACCTCTCTTTCAGCTGTTTTTTTTCTCAGCAACTCTGTTGTGCTTTACCCAGCAGCTCTCTTTGGCTGCTCTCCAGCTCACACCCTTTGTCACTCAGTTTCTCTCTCTGCCTCCAGACACCAGAGTAATTTTTTAAACTTCTTATTTACTTATCACCTCAGATCTGTTTTGATCCTGGCTTCCACTCTTATCCCACTGCTCCCTTTCTCGAGCCTTGGATTTCAAGTTAGCCCATTGGTCTCTCAAATCCTGGCATAAAAGAAGTTTTCTTTAGAGTCGTTTCCTTATCTTAAGTTTCCCCAGATCTGGGGTCAGAAGCCCCACTACTAAGCTTTTCCACAAAAGCTCTAGCAGGTCACCCCTTCACCACAGACATAACTAAAAAGGTACCCATGAATCCAGAAAACTCACTTGTAAACTTTTGCTTCACTGGATTTCTTCGTATCCCACCACTGTACATCAATTGTGACGCGCCACTACTTGTCCCCAGGTTTTCACTAGCCTGAGTTCCCTCCTTTATGCTACCACCAGTTGACCTCTGTCAACAACCTTTAATTAGAAAGATTGAAGTCCAAGCTGAGAGTAACATTGAACAAAACAGGTTTATTGGTTACAGATCATATAAACAGGTTCTTCAAAGACTTAAAGTATTCAGTAGTTTAATAATAACTTGTTCCATTCTTAACTCTCTTTAACTCTTAACTCTGACACTCTAACTCTCACAGACAAACTTCTACTTCAGAGTCTCATCTCTGAAGCTGACTTCTCACGTCAGACTCTCTCATGATCTTTCTCTAACTCTCCTCCTCTAACTCCTCCCTGCTCTTCTCTGACTCACCCCTCCCTTCTGGTTTCTCTGGCTCTGCCTCCCAACAGCTCTCATTGGTATATGCAAATAACCTACTACATGAGCCAAAACAGGGTAATTGCCACAATATGCTTCCAAGAAACATGGTCAAAACTGATGATCAAATACAAACCAAAATAGGTACATATATAGTCTGGCTCCTGATAATTCATGTAAATATGCTTTATATGAAATTAACACCACAGATAGAATGATAGAGGCATTTGGTTAGTCAGTTGGCACCAGAATGTACTGGCATACAGCCTATAATGAGAAGAATACAGCTCATCCCAAATAAGAAGTTGCGTCAGGAGCAACAGAAGATTTTCTTGCTCATAAATAATCTTATTCAGAGCAAATTCTACAAATGCTAGTCCTGGATATCATTAGATGCTGGGATACACAATATTTGGAATCATCTTAGTAAATGCTTAACAACCTAATGATGCAATATCAATTTCTATAAAATTGTAATGCTACATCAGTTTGTTATATTGGGAAATGTGAGTAATTCAGAATCATCAAGTACCTATAGTTTTAAAACTGATATAGATTAAGCCTTCCACTTAATCTGTTTTACCCAATCTGTATTTGTCAAAGAAAATATAATTCATATTTATTTATTTATTCGACTTATATGCTGCCCGCACTCTGCAAGAGTCTCCGGGCAGCTTCCAACATCAATTAAAACAGTTCCGTTAAGAACAGACGCTAAAAACCAACAGGGCCACATCCACTCTACAAAAACAAAAATAAAAACAAAAACAAAAAATAATAAACCATGTGGTAGCTTTCCAATTCATCTAGTTAAACTTGAAGAAAAATTACTGTACTGTCTTAGGTTCCTGCAAGTCAAGTTTCTAGCCTGACTTTTGGCTGAAACCACCTTGCTTACTTTGGTAGACAATCTGTGCTAAAAGATGAACTAGGGAAATGTGACTTCTGGACCTCTCAGTAGCTTTTTATACCACCAGGCATGATGGCAGCCAGCTAGCCAGCATTATGAGATTGGGGGGCACTGTGCTTCGGCAGTGCTTGTTCATTCTTGAAATATAAACTTTAAAAATATTTTATTACAATATGTGATATGTTAGCACACAGAGCTACATACTGGGAAAACATACTGCACTGCTATTATACAAATACCGTGTTTCCCCGAAAATATGAAGGGTCTTGTATTAATTTTTGCTTCAAAAAACACATTAGGACTTATTTTCAGGGGATTTTTTTTCCTTGTATAACAATCTACATTTATTCAAAAAGTCATATCTTCTTCTGGTTGCTGCACAATGGTGGAGGGTGGAGTTTCACTTAACTGGGGCTTATTTTGGGGGTAGGTCTTATATTACAAGCATCATGAAAAATCATACTAGGGCTTATTTTCAGGTTAGATCTTATTTTCGGGGAAACAGGATATCTACAAGCATTTTAATTGAATAAAGCAGGACCACATACCTGGCTCATCTGTTCCCATTTCATTCCATTTATTTAGAAGCTCCTTTTGCTCATTCACTGGTCTCTGTTGATCAAAAATGCAGTGCATATTTTACAGTAAACCAAACAACAAAAAAAACTACAAGAACTCTGTGTCAGTTAGCACTTAATTACCCACTCTAGGTTTTTTAAAATTCTTTAACATAACATCCCATGAAAGCATGCAACTGAAGAAGAGAGGCTTTTGTTCCTATGCAGGCTCTCCATATGAGCATGAACTTTGGAAAATCAGGGTTCTTGCTCACAAACAGAGCTTCCATGAACCTGGGAAGCCCTAATCTTTACATGTGTCACCTTCCATATAAGAAAAGCAATGATGAAGAGAGTCGGGAGAAGACATCCCACTCTCCTTGCTTGTGGAATTCACCTTGATAAGTAATGCCCAAACAGGGCTAAAAGGTAAAGGTAAAGGTTCCCCTTGACATTTTCAGTCTAGTCGTGTCCGACACGAGATGGCGGTGCTCATCCCATTTTCAAGCCGCAGAGCCAGCGCTTGTCCGAAGACAGTTTCCGTTGTCACGTGGCCAGTGTGACTAGGGAACGCCGTTTTACCTTCCCACTGAGGTGGTACCTATTTATCTACTCACATTTGCATGCTTTCAAACTGCTAGGTTCGTGAGGAGCTGGGACAAAGCGACGGGAGCTCACCGAGAGGGCGGTGCTCATCCCATTTTCAAGCTGCAGAGCCAGCGCTTGTCCGAAGACAGTTTCCGTTATCACGTGGCCAGTGTGACTAGGGAACGCCGTTTTACCTTCCCACTGAGGTGGTACCTATTTATCTACTCACATTTGCATGCTTTCAAACTGCTAGGTTCGTGAGGAGCTGGGACAAAGCGACGGGAGCTCACTCCGTCGTGTGGATTCGATCCTACGACTGCTGGTCTTCTGACCCTGCAGCACAGTCTTCTGCGGTTTAGCCCACAGCGCCACCATGTCCCTTTTTCCAAACAGGGCTACTGTACCTTAAATTTTATAAAATCCTCCCTTCCCCCATAAGATTACACACACAGGAAGTAGGAGTTATTAAAGCTACCTTCTGTGCTAATGGGATGCCAAGTTCTGTGCACATGCTATTTAGACTCTTCAAAATTCGTTTTTCCCAGTTTCCCTGCAACAAATAGCATGAATCAGTATAACAGTTCCCATTCCATTCTGTTTAAAACTTTCTCTGAAACGCATTAACTAGCTTATATTTTAAGTCTGAGATATTTATTTCAGTTAAAATAGCATAAAATAGCTATCTTTTTTTCAAATAAGCATTGCACTTGTGGCAGTACTACACAGCACAAAGGATGGGAGGAGTTTGGTCGGGCCAAGTCACAGTTCCAATTTGCCACTGATTTTGGTTTACCATGCAGTTTTCAAAATTCTCTGTTATAAATTTGCAAAGGAAATCATTCTCTAGCTCAAAAACAGTGCTGCTGGACCAGCAAGCTTGCCTCTATTTTACAGGCCTGGTTCTGAGGCTTAAACCATATGACGCAGGCAGTTATGTGTATTCTGATATTTTTTTGGAAATCAAAACTAATTGCAGAAGCTTGAGAGTTGAACAGTCTTGCTCAACTTTTAACCTCTGGACATATTCCCACTTAAAATTCTTTGGCAACTGCTTCTCCTGTGGCAGTTTGGAGTGTATTCTGAGGGTGAAAGCCATTATGTATTCTTCTAGCTGCTAGGTCCTACTTGTCCTTCACTTAAGACCTGAGGCCCCACCAGTTTTACTTTTTCAAGTTAGAAATAGTGTGTGAACATCTTTGTGTAACATATTTGCAACCTCATGTTCACATCCAGTTCAGTAGTAAGAATGGAGGAGTGAAAGGGTACTGCTACATACTTGTTCACTTGGGAGTAATTTCTACTTACTCTCAGTATAACTGCACTTCCAGTTTTACAGACCAGTCATCTGTTTTTAAATGCAGCCGTTTACTAACTGAAAACTATTTTCTAATACGATTGTGGAACAGAATATTGACTCATATTTTGCATTCAATTGTAGCTAACATAAAAATTTCAATCATGTTTTTAAAGTATTAATAATTCAAAACTAAGGTTTCTGTGTTTTTAATTTATGTTCATGTTCTGAGAAAAATTATGTGAATATTTAAAATATGTTTAAATGTCATTGATAAGGAAGCATTAGAAATATTCCAAAACATTTGTTAGCAAACTTTGCTTGAAAGGACAGCACAGAGTGAAGCAAGAGCATCACAGAGCTTTAAGACCGATGATACAGCTAAATTGTCTTCACTCTACTATAATAATAATTCCAACCAACAATTTTTAAGATCCTATCTTCAATATCCTCCATATAATGAATTAAGAGGGTTTTTTTTTTAAAAAACTAATTCAATATTTTCAGGAGGGTTTAACCTAGCACAAAATGTTGAATGACTATTGCAGAAGGATGGAATGGAGTATCTTGAAAGAAGGCACAGATGACTAGCTGGAACTCTTAAGAGGAATTCTCAAATAATGCAGTCTTTTGCTGCAGAGCCCACATATTAAGAAAACACAGAGATATGCCCAGCACATACACATTTCAGTGTTCCCATATGAAGAAGATGATTCAGTAACAGCAAACCTGGGCTTTCCTCATGTAAGCCAAAGATTCTTTCATGTGTTCAGGTGGTGCTGATGGATGGCATAGTAAAGGGAAGCTTGAGGAGTAAAAACAAGTTATTTTTAGTACAGGTATTATTTGGATCAACTCTTCTGGCTAAATCTTCGAAAATCAAATTCTCCCCCCAAAATTTTCCCTAACAGGAATTGTCAGAGACAAGAATTAGGTAAACTATTAATCAGCATTAACACATGGCTGTCTGCCTTGTAGAATATCACAGGAGACAAGTCTTATCCCATTGTTTCCTGTGTTAGAAATGTAAAGAATGGAAAACTTTAATTTACTGGAAATAACAGGGACTGATATCACCTTAAATATATATGCATTCATAACATCAGACAACTTCAGCCTTTTTTGATCCTGTCCACATTATTATGATTACCAATTTTAGTTAGAAACAATATATTGTATCTTCATAAAATGCAGCACCATTTGCTTTTGTAAAACAAACTATATTGGAACACAGATTTCTTCATACTATACATTTTAAGAAAATGGTATAAAAACCATCTCCCCCATCTGAAAACAAAAATAACAGAACTTTTTCTCTGAAATTTCCATTTTCTGTTACTGGAAAAACAGAGTCCTTGGAAAATCAAGTGAGGGTGTTTTCCCCATCTTCTCAACTTTTTCTATGCCATTACACAACTAATCAAGGCATTAAGGACCAAACCTTTGTTCACAAAGAAAACTAGCTCCCCCTTTGTTAAGATAATTAAGAACAAGAAAGCTTTGCTTCTGTGTTGTGCTTCATCATTTATAATTTCACTTCTGTGCTATTCTCTACACAGAGAAAAAATTACAACCCATTATAGATTGAAAGAGTATCTCACAGGACCTCTTTGATGTACACATTAAATGATATTACAAATAATGCATGTAGATATGAAGATATGAAAGACTATGTCTAACCACAAATACAGACAAAAACAAACTCACACACTGAGTTCACTATAAACAGCATTTTGCAGCTTCTTTTCCCATCCTGATAAAATAAGAGGTTAGAAAGTGAAGATTAGCAAACCTTAAATTATAAAAAATGTCATCAAATGTTTAAAACAATTTAGGCTAGAAACCTTTGATGTATAGCTGACATTTATTTATTCAACATATGCCGCCCACTCTACCTAAAGGTCTCCGGGCGGCTTACAACAATTAAAACACAATTAAAAAGATAAAGCAATTAAAATACAATTAAAATATATACTCTAAAATGCAAAAATACTATTGCTAAATGCACTCTAAAGGTACAATATCAAATTAATTCCACAACTATGTAATGGTACCTCTCCATAGTACATGTTTTGTGGATTAAATATTTACATTCCAATCCTAAATATATTTACTCAGAAGATAAACCTCACTGTGCCCTACAGAACTTATGTTCAAGTCAGTATGCCTAGGACTGCAGCCTGATGTTGTGACCATCACTGCACATGCCCTCTTACTGTGCTATATCTGAAGTCTTTTGTCAATCCATATAACTTCCTGCACCATGTGAAGAAGCAACTGTGTGCCTCCTGAGCAACTGTGTAGCTGGAGAATTATATGATCTAAAGGAAAGCATGAATTCCAAACATGGGGAGAGCAGATACTTATTTCGAAGCCAGTCTCTATCAATGGAATGCACAGAACCTATGTTCAATGAAATAGTTGCAGAAGAATACAGTGGTGCCTCGACTTATGAAATTAATCTACTGTATATTGGACCGGTGGCCATAACTCGAAAATTTTGTAAGTCGAAGCACCATTTCCCATAAGAATACATTGAAAACCATTTAATCCATTTGGGCCAAAGGAAAAAAATCCCGGGCTTCCAAAGCTGCACCCGCTGCCCACTACCTCCAGTCCCCGCTGCCCTCTGCTTCCTGTCCCCGTGGAAACCCAGGAAGCCGAAAGTCGCCCCGGCCTCTGCGCCTGCTGTCTCCCATCCCCATTGCCCTCTGTCTCCTGTCCCCACAGGAGACAAACCTCCTCCGCAGCCCTCTGTCTGCAGGGAAGGAGGCAGAGGGCAACAGGGATGGGAGACAGAGAGCAGCAGAGGGGCTGGACACCTGGAAAGCCGGAAGTGGGCACAGAAGTTGGGGTGGCTTTCAGATTCCTAGGTTTCCAACGCTGCCCCCGCTGCCCGCTGCCTCCAGTCCCCGCTGCCCTCTGCCTCCTGTCCCCGCGGGGACAGGAGGCAGAGGGCAGCGGGGACTGGAGGCAGCGGGCAGCGGGGGCAGCGTTGGAAACCTAGGAATCTGAAAGCCACCCCAACTTCTGTGCCCACTGCCAGCTTCCCAGGTGTCCAAAGCCCCTCCGCTGCCCTCTGTCTCCCATCCCTGTTGCCCTCTGCCTCCTGTCCCCGCGGGGACAGGAGGCAGAGGGCAGCAGGGGGGGCTTTGAATTTCCCACCCTTTCCCCCTGTCTTTCGTAAGTTGAAGCTCCAGCTGCAAGTCGAACCAAAATTTTGCGGCCGGAGCTTTTCGTACCTCGAAATTTTCATACGTAGGGACATTCGTAAGTCGAGGCCCCACTGTATAGAAAGACATAGCTCTCAATAAAAATAGATTTTAAGATACGGAAACATGTAGGCCATTGGTTGCCATATGAATTGGGGGCATGAAGAAACTGAGAGACTTTCCTATAAAAACATATTTTTATTGTCTTAAATATTTTTAATTTTTGATTTACAAACCATAAATTTAAATTTAAATAATCTTTACTGGGTTGTTCTGGGTTTTTCGGGCTCTTTGGCCGTGTTCTGAAGGTTGTTCTTCCTGATGTTTCGCCAGTCTCTGTGGCCGGCATCTTCAGAGGACAGCAACCTGTACTCTGGTGTCGTTGGCTTGGAAATTATTTGGGTTTGTGTTGCAGTTTGGGCACTCGGTCTCAAAAAGGTTCGCCATCACTGTTCTAGTCCATTTATCAGTTGTGTGGGGGGAAAATCTTGCAACATATATCATGTTCACTCAGTGGCAGCCACAACATGTTGTCTACAGTAATATCTCACTCTATTGCAATTACGTAATTGCCTTTCCAATACTTTCCAAACAGTATTAGAAACTTAGTATTGATCCAGAGATTGGTCCTTTTAAAGTAGAACTGCCTCACGCTGTTAAACTTATATCTTCCAATTGAGGACTCCTACGGTGCATTAACCTGTGTGTTAGGATAGTGCGAATCTCAGGTATATCACTAAGTGGAGGAAAAACCAACTACTAGGTAGACCAGTATTGGCATTTCCATTAATAGCATACCAGTAACCTCGGCAGAGTCAACACTTGTTAAAAAGAACTGTCTACTATCATTCTGGCTTTACTGGGGTTTTCTCCTTATTTTTTACTTTTAAATTATGGATTATTTTTTACTTTTAAATTATGGATTGACTCTTCTGTTAAAAGGGAGTTCATTGATGGTAAACAAGAAGTGGAGAAATGTAAGGCTTAATTAAAAAGCGACTGTGATGTTGAAAAGTTTGGAGAGTGATGATCCAGGCCAGATTGCACCATATCATGAATGTTTCAAGAAACTGCTTCTGCTTCCATTTAACTACAATCACAGGGTTTGCATTTTGACACAAAATACACCTATTTTACATCTGCAAAATGAAGTGGCACCATGAAAACACAGACTTGTTACAATTCACAAAAGCAAGCAAATGGTCTCAAAAGGATAGCTTGAACCATAAAGTGAACTTGTAACTTCTTACTTGCTTGCTCTGTAAACTAACACAAATGTTCTCTAAATGAGGGGTCATCAACCCCCGGTCCGCGGCCCGGCGCCGGTCTGTGGGCTTCCTTTAAGTGGGCCACAGAAATGGAACTCTGCTCCCCCGCCTGCCCACACGGGGGGGGTGTTGTGCTTGCAGAGGGGCGTGTCGCGCTTGTGCGCATGCACACGAGGGCAACACGGCCACCCGCAAGCGTGACACAGCCACTCACTCTCAAAATCTGTCTGGCTTCTAATTTCAGCCCAACCAGGAGCGGGAGCAGCAATAGCGGCACCTACTGAGCGAGCGCGGGGCTTTCTCCCGGCCTCATAGGGGCTGGGTCCCACGTGCCACCCCGCAAGTGCCCACATATCCAGAAAAGAAGCCCTCTCCCTGCCTGGCAGTTTTCTTCCTCAGGGGTTTGGTGCCACTGGGGCCTTCTACGTTTAGCTCCCTCGCTCTCTCGCATGCATGCTCTCTCCCTCTAACCCCCACTCTTCGTGGGTCACCTGGCAAGGCTGCTGCTGTTGCTGTCGCCTCGTCCTCTCTGCGGCTGAGGTGAAGGAGGGGCCCCGCTCACCACCTGGCCAAGTGCTTCTCCTTCCCCCTGCCTGGCGCTCCTCTGCTCCCTGCCCAGACAAGCCACGGCAGGAGGTAGTGCCGAGAGAACAGCCTTCTCGAGCATGCTCCCCTCCCCATCTCCTTTCACAGCCTGCCACAGAGAGCTCGCGCCCGTCTATCCGACCATATCTTGACAGTCTGTCACTCGTTCCCTCTCTCTCTCTTCCTTTCCTTTTTGTTTGTTCCTTGTTGGCCATGGCTCAAGCAGCAGCAGGAAAGGGAAAAGGAAGGAAGAGAGAGGGAGGGAACGAGCGACAGACCGTCAAGACGGACAGATGGACGGGCGCAAGCTCTCCGTGGCAGGCTGCGAAAGGAGATGGGGAGGGGAGCATGCTTGAGAAGGCTGTTCTCTCAGCATCACCCCTCCCACGGCATTTCTGGGCAGGGAGCGTAGGAGCACCAGGCGGGAGGAAGAAGTGTGCGGCCAGGTTGCGAGCGGGCCCCTCCTTCACCTCAGCCACAGAGAGGACGAGGCGACACCAGCAGCAGCCTTGCCAGGTAACCCGCGAGGAGTGGGAGGAGGGAGGGGGAGAGAGAGAGAGAGAGAGAGAGAGAGAAGCAGAAGCCCGGTGGTGCCAAACCCTGAGGGAGAAGACTGCCGGCCAGGGAGAGGGCTCCCCTTCTGGACGCGTGGCCACTTGTGGGGGGGCAGGCGGGGCTGAGCCCCTACGAGGTGGGGAGAAAGCCCTGCGCTCACTCAGTAGGTGCCACCGCTGCTGCTCCCGCTCCCGGCTGGGCTGAAATTAGAAGCTGGGCAGATTTTTAGACTGGGTGGCTGTGTGGCGTTTGTGGGTGGTCGTGTTGTGCTCATGCGCATGCACACAAGCGCGACACGCTCCTCCGCAAGCATGACATGCCCACCAGTGAATGTGACATGCCCACCTGCAAGCTTGACATGCCCCTCCGTGAGCGTGACATGCCCACCCACAAGCACAGGGGTGCCCCACCCGCCAACCGGTCCATGCACGAAGCCCACACCCTTGAAATGGTCCACGGAGTGAAAAAAGTTGGGGACTGCTGCTCTAAATTATAACAGAGCTGTATGGCTGATTCCTCTTTGAGGTACTTTATGTGCCATACATAAGTAATCTAGCTAAAAGCAGCTAGCCCAAATCTGTGTCAACTAACCTACACAAATTGACAAATCTATCTACTCGGCTGATGAGAAATGAGCTCAGGTATGTGGATGATGCCGAAATGCCCATCTATCAAATATGTCCATCTATCAAATATTCTAAAAACTTTGAAAAATAATGAACAAAGTCAACAGACCTGATGTCTTCAGAAATTCCTTAATATCTTCTTTCAAAGATTCTAGTTTTATCTCTGGATTGTGTAGGCTGAGCTAAGGGAAAAGACCAACAACAAAGGAAAAAAAAGAGTCAAAAGTATAAACATTTTTTAAAAGTTACAAGATTCATACTGAAATGGAAAAGGTCTATAAGTATCTGCAGCAACAAAATTCTAAAAGTTCTTCGTTAAGATATATTAAACCCTTAAACTACAAAACATAATTTCCTGCATTACCAACACATTTTTTTTAAAAAAAAGGACCTTGGTTTCATAATTTGCACACCAGATGCCTTTGGCAAACAAACTAAAAAACAGAACCAAAAGCCTCCTTTACATTTTCTTTTTTCACCAGGTTGAGCACAGCTTGCTAAATTGATTCTGGTTACAAGACCACTACAGAACATCTTTAAAAGGATAACTCGTTGCTATTAAAATTAGAAGACTGTCCAAAGTATCTTGGTCCATTGTTTTTAAATATCTTTTTGGAAGGAAAAAGACAATGTGCACCATTCTGCTGCCTGATCACCCTTCCCGCAAGCAGCATCAACTAACCAACTATGATATTTCTGTCCATAATTAGTTTATTGTTAAAGGTAGTTATGCTGCCTAAGCAATTCTGGGAAGTACAAACCTCAGCCCAGAACAGTGTGGGACATAACTCTCTTCCTCATGACTCATACATGTCTCTGAACAGTCAAAACTCTCTTCCATAAACTTGCTCTTACTTTGATACAAGTTCCTTACACCTGGCAAATTCCACTATGCATTAGTGATCTCACTTCTTCATCTTTTTGGCAGTACAGGGTATCCACAAAACTTTCTTCCAAAAAATTAGGTTTTTCTTCTGCTAGCGTTCTTCACAATCCAACTTTCATTTCCATACAAAGTAATCAGGAATACAATAGTATGGATGATATTGGTCTTGGTCTCCAGTGACATGTCTTTACACTTGATGATCTGCTCTAGTTCATTCATTGCTGCCCTTCCAAGTCCCAGTCTTTATCTGATTTCTTGATTGCAGTTTCCATCCAGACTAATGACTGAATGAAGCTGTATCTTCTGTAAGTTCCTCTGTAATCATGATTACATGCAGTCCTGCTTTTGCACTTCTTTTCATCTGAAGTCATTTCAATTCATTGCTCCTTTCTGCCAATGAGATGGTGTAATCTACATACAGTATCTTAAATTATTGATGTACCACCAATTTACATTCCTCCTTTATCTGAATCTAATCCACCTTTCTGTATAATTTGCTATCCATATATAGTAGGACCCCCTTATCCATGTGATCTGTATCTACTTATTCACTTATCCACAGTCTGAAAATATTTTTTTAAAAATCCATATTTTAACATGTATTACCAGAACCAGCCACTAGAGGATACTTATTAGTGAAGAATATATATCATGGTCTCATCTAGTGGCCAGTTCTGGTACTGCATACGGAAATATTTTTTCTGTGTTTTTTTCTTTTATGTACGTGTGTGTGTGTGACCATATTTTCCACCAATTTACATTCCTCCTTTATCAGAATCTAATCCACCTTTCTGTATAATTTGCTATCCATATATAGTAGGACCCCCTTATCCATGTGATCTGTATATACTTATTCACTTATCCACAGTCTGAAAATATTTTTTTAAAAATCCATATTTTAACATGTATTACCAGAACCAGCCACTAGAGGATACTTATTAGTGAAGAATATATATCATGGTCTCATCTAGTGGCCAGTTCTGGTACTGCATACGGAAATATTTTTTCTGTGTTTTTTTTTTATGTACGTGTGTGTGTGTGTGTGTGTGTGTGTGAGAGAGAGAGAGAGAGAGAGAGAGAGACAGAGACAGAGACAGAGACAGAGAAACTGAGAGAGAGATTTGGTCTGACACATTTGCCTATCGGAAACCTTTCTATCTCCCCATATTCTCTCCCAACTATAGTTTCTTATCAACAATAAAGGTTACACATCAAGACAATCAAGTGCTGAGGCATGCCCTTTCCACTATTATTATTTTTAGAACATCACAGAGGTTGTTGCGCAATGTCAAAAGCTTTGCTGTAGGCATAGATTGGTGGTCTTCTAAAATTCTTTGGTGTGCTTCTGTAACAAGAGATGTGATCTCTTGTGCTTTCTCCTTTTCAGAATTGAGCTTGAATGTCAGTGTAAAATTCTTCGTTGCAACATCTTGAGCATCACTTTGTTTGCATGAGAAATTAATCTAATGGTCTTACACATATGGCACTCCTTGGCATCTTTCATCCTGAAGACTCAATGTATATTAAGCATTTCCAGTCTGTGATCCATTGCTTTCTTTTCCACATTTGTTGGCATATTCTTGTTATGATTTTTACAGATTCAGCCTGTGCAGTTTGGAACAGTTCTACTGTCATTCCATCTACCCTGCTGATTTATTTCACAGCAGCTTTCTCCTCACTTTCCCTTCCCCTTTCCTTTTACTTTCCCCTTTTTCCTTTTCCCTTTCCCTTTCCTTCTTTTATTCTTCCCTAATAATTCCTCCAGTTTCAATCCACGCTTCTTCTGGTTTACAGTCAATTGAGTTTAGCAATGAAAATCTGTTCTTCATTTGGACTTCAAATTCTTTGGAAATAATACATTATATTTAGCACTATGATTATTTTAGTGTTCTTTTTCAGTTTTATTCTAGTTTTTTACATTAATAGTTTATGGTATGTACCACAATTTGCTTCTGGTCTTATATAACAAAGAGTACACAGGTTCTGCAACTCCTTCCAATTACATAGTCTATTTGCAGTAATGGCCTCCCAATGATGTCCACCTGTTTGGTTCTCTCTCTGCAATAAGCAGATTGTTGGTTTCACAGAATTCTTGAGTATCCTGCTTTAGTTCTGACCCCTAGGCCAGGTTCTCCAACAACGTTTGGTTCTGCTTTCTCCCTCACTTTGGCATTCCAGTTACCTATGATTATCAGCATGTCTTGTTTTGAAGTGTGATTAATCTCCTCCTGGATGTTTGCATCAATACTTTTGACAACCATCTTTCAGACATGCTTTAATTTGGATCCATGCATTGAGTAGGTGGTTTGAATTAATCGCCATAATTGTAGGCCCCTCCAACTCTATCATTCTATGATTTGATGATTTCTTCCTTTTAAGAATCTATAGCTGGACTTGATGATGATACTATTCAGTGAGATTTTGCAGTATAGTCCCTAACTGCCCGTGCAACATCTTGCCTCAATATCAGAGCCACTCCATTTCTTTTGAGTTTATCCAGAGTAAAGCACTTTGTAGTTGAGTGACTGTTCCAGCACACTGTAGTTTGCTCATACCAAGTGCTTCAATGTTTAAATGTTCCATTTCTTGCTTTAAAGTTCTCTTGCTTCATACTTCTCTCATTCCATGTTCCAACTATGTGTGTCATGAAGCATCACTCTCCTTTCATCTCTGTTCACATCAGGCACTAGACATCTTTTCAGCTTTATTCTAGTTGCATCATTAGTGAGAATACTATTTTGCACTTATTCTCTGCACTTCCCCAGTAGCTGACTGAGCACTATCCAACCTGCAATTTTCAAGGTAATAAATATTCAGTGGTGATTTCCCATTGCCATTTTCTGCACAGAACCAGCAAAGTTAGCTTGAGTGTTTCTGTAGTTGTCTGTGAAAGAGCCTCTGGCAGTGCCATCTTCCACTACTACTGCTGCCCAGTACGTGCCCTCCACATGTTTCTCTGCTCCCATTATTCTCTTCTGCTGATGAGATTGTCAATCATTGAGAAAATGAATGCATCTTAGTGTAGTGTCTCATCTGATACCATTTGATCTTAGATGGTCCTACTACAAGTCCAGACTTACAGTTGAGTACAGCATCCTAATAGTTCTCAGGTTCTCTTACACACTTACACCCCATCAACACTTCATGGTTTTTAAATATTTTTGTAGACTAAAGAGAGATGGCAGGCTAAAAATCCAATTGATAAGATGGAGGGATGATCGATTACACACACATACACATACAGAGAGAGAGAGAGACAGGAATACATATCCACCAGAAAAGCGCAGGATCCACACTACTTTATTATAAAGTTGGAGGAGGTTGCACTTTGGTCAAAAGTCAGCATCTGCAACACTCAAAACTTTTCTGTGCCACTGCCAAAATAATAACAAACTACAAACTCCCGTAGTAAGCTTGCATATGATTTTTAAATTTGTAAACAAGAACTCCTCTTGAACTATCCCTATCACCAACCGTGGCAAACAGCCAGTGTTCCTTTCTACTGTGCCTGAGCTAACAGCTGGCAGGCTTCACACTGCTGTTTTTGGTGAGATACAGATTTTAATTTGCTGACACTACAAAAACCATTTGCCATAACACTGACCAGGTATATACATGGCTATCATATTTTATGACTGCTATCTATAAAATAATAAGCTGGGTTAGTAAACAAAAAATAATGTTTTGTTTGGAAAAAATTATAAAAGGAGTACAACAGTTCAGTGAACAAGTAAAAAACAAGATGGCTGAAATCTTTTTTGTCTCTGTAAAACATAAAGTTACACCTTCATATGTCTGCCAGGCATTATGACCAGGCAGTCCATATTGCACAAGTAGATCACCTGGTCAACTGCACAACTCCTGTTTAGCCTGTTCTGTGGCATGCATGTGGCAGTGCCTTGTGAATAGCATGTCCATTCTGCTGCAGTGTTCATTATCATTACCATAGTTTCACGTTCCACACATGGAGCTGTGCAACAGGATTTCTGTTAATATAAAAATGTTTTAAACTGTCAGTTTCTTCAGTGTATAACTATAGACCTTTCCAATTTTGAATCCTGCTTTTTACAGATACGGTACATGTTTGCTTTGACACAAGCCCTACAGTTTTATTCACAAACCGTTGTCAAAACAGAACATAGACATTTTCACTCCTACTCTCACCAACTCTCACCATACTCTAAGTGACCACACTAACAGCACTAACCGACATTCTCTCTCTCTCTCTCTCTCTCTCTCTCTCTCTCTCTCTCTCTCTCTCTCTCTCTCTCTCTCTCTCTCTCTCTCTCTCTCTCTCTCTCTCTCTCTCTCTCTCTCTCTCTCTCTCTCTCTCTCTGTGTGTGTGTGTGTGTGTGAGAGAGAGAGAGAGAGAGAAGGATGTCTCCAGCCAGAAATCATACAGACCAATCCGCCTAAAGTCCGATTAATAAACATTTGTTAACATTTCTCAACTGAAATAACTATCACTTGTGGCATTCTTGTTGTTGTTTAGTCGTTAAGTCGTGTCCAACTCTTCATGACCCCATGGACCAGAGCATGCCAGGACGTCCTTGTTACATACAGCACTGATGTTACCTGTCTGTCATGGGTTTGGAGGGAAAGTTCCATCCTATGGGGAGTGGAAGGCGGGACATCAGGAGGAGGGGCTGTACTGTATAAATATGTGATGCCTGTGTGGTGAAAGACACACACTGAAGAGATGCTGAGAGACACTGGGTTGTGACGAAGCAGCAGCTGGGAAGAAGAAGCTGTTGTGGGAGTCAGTGTGTCAGACAGGGTACTTCTGTGTGTCAGAGTACCAACCTGATAGGTTCAGGTGTCTGTCGGTTAGCCAGAACTGATAGGTTCAGGGTCTGTGCTTTAAGTTAAGGTTCTGTGTGAACCAAACTGTGTGTATGTATGAGTGAAACTAAGCCACGTTACTTTATCTGATTCACCTGATTGTTTTATATTTTCCTGTGTGTATTTAAAATAAACCTTATTCTTTTTATTGTTTAAAAATCCATCCCTAGTCTGTGTGACTTCTTAAAGGGAATGGTTGGTGGCAGCTTAGTGTAACTGTGTGGCAGATCCCAGTAGGTCTGGGTTTGTCACATTGATTGGTGTCCAGCGTGTGGGATACGACTGGTCCAGTTGTCCAGCGGTCCAGCAAAGCCTTGGCAAGTGTGCCCAGAGCAAGGGGGGTCTAGTCAGGGACAGTCTGAGGCGCGTAGGTAATCTTCTAGGTGTACCTCACGGGGAGGTGCACTAGTAGAAGAACGTGCCAACTGGGGAGACTTAGATTAAGGTGCTCTGAGGCAGCCTAGTTTTGGCGGGAAAAGCTGAGGCAAATCTGCGTAGCAACAGTGAGCTAGCTTGCCAGCTGAGAGGCCCAGCAGAGGGGGGTAGGCTCTGACTCGATACTGTTGCAACTTTAGTGCTGAAGAACAGCAGCAATCTCTAGGAGAGCTGGTTCTGAAGCAAGAAGGAAAAAATTGGTCGTTTTATTTTGAGGCTTGACTTTTTAAAGCAGCCTGTTCTGAGGGGGGATTATGCCCTTGACTCGAAGCAAAGTAGCAGACATGAGTGAAGTGAAAGACCCCCAGATTGACCAAGGTTCTGAGGAGGAATTTGGCTCAGTGCAAGGTGACAGCACAGGAGAGCAGGACCCAGAACTCAGAAAAATACTCCTAGCCCAACAGCATGAACTGAGGGTGAGGGAAATGGAGGAAAGGGAAAGAGAGAAACAGCGGCAATTTGAAATAGAGAGAGAGAGAGAGAAAATTGCTCTGGAGAAAGAAAGAATGGCGTTTGAATTAAGAAAACTGGAAATGATGAACCAGAACAATAATAACAATAGGGATTCTGAGGGAGGCCAACTGTCTAAGGCTGACCTGAAGAAATTCCCTGTGTACCACAAGGGAGATTGTCCTGAGGTGTTCTTTTCCTTAGTGGAAAGAGCGTTTGTGGACTTCTCAGTGAGGGAAACTGAGAAGATGACCATCATGCGGTCTTTAATCAGTGGTAGCCTGGCTGAGGTTTATGCCGAGATGCCTGAGGAACGGATGAAAGATTTTGCAGAGTTTAAAAAACTGGTGTTCGCAAGACATGGGATAAATGCAGAGCAGCTGAGACAAAGGTTCAGGTCCCTCACCAAGAAGCCAGAACAGACTTTTACCCAAGTGGGGGCCCAATTGGTGAGGCTGCTTGAGAAATGGCTATCGCAGGAAGGAACAGAGACCTATGAGCAGCTTAAAGACTTGATAGCCCTGGAACAGTTCTATTCAGTCCTGCAGGGGGAATTGAAATTCCAGGTGAGGGAAAGGAAACCAAAATCTGTGGT